CAGAGTGAAGTATTTGCAAGGGGCAATATCTGGTCTGCAAAACCTAAAATGTTATCTGTCTAGCTCTTTACAAAAATGTTTGCTGAATCCTGTTTAAGCCACTGTCTAGATTTTATTTCCAAAGTAAACTTTCTTACTAGAAAATAATGAACACCCTACCTGTGTATGTAGCTGAAAAATTGTCCTGTCACTTTAAATATGTGAATGTTTTTCCCCACATACAACAATCAAATGACTGGAACTGAAAGATTGTGTACCGTGAAAACACTTTGTCAAAAATAAGCCTTTTATCCTCTCACCTTTCCATTTCCTGTAGAATCTGCAGGTTCAAAGAAGTCAGGAAGAAAGACAAAATGGCAGAGATATTAGCACCCTAAGGATCTTCCACAACAATGACAAAGTAGTAAAAACCTGTGAAACCAGAGATCTTCGAACTCTGGAAATCAACTGAAGGCTTTGAAAACCAGACTGAGAAACAGGAAAGATCTGAAGCAGGGACTGCAGGAAGGTAGGGATTTTTGTACTATCCAGAACCTACTTGCTATTTCAAGATGACCACAAGCGGCAGCAACTTTATTCAGAATTACCAAAAAGGCCACGGTGGGAGCAAAACAGACGTCTCAGATTAAGACAGGTCTAGAAGGAGTGACGAGGTGGGCAAAGTATGTACTGAGGCTAGGCAGACCTCAGAGAGACGAGTGCAGGAGCGCAGCATGGATTTGAGTCCCAGGAATACCACAGAAATACAGCCAGAGTAAATTCGTGAATGCCAGCTTGGGGGACCTCACAGAGAGGGCAGAAGGGCGGGAGTGTGCATCCCTGGGAAGGGACACAGGGTAGGTGTAATAGTGGAGATGTGGACACTGGCAAGACAGCACTAGGAATTGTTATTGTTAGGTGTTGCTGGGTCATAATGACCCCAGGTACAACAGAACAAAACATTGCCTGGTCCTGCACCATCCTCACAATCATTGCTATGTTTGAGATCATTGTTGCAGCCAGTGTGTCAATCCATCTCGTTGAGAGACTTCCTTTCACTCACCCTCTTTCCCAAGCATGATATCCTTCTCCAGGACTGCTCCTCCTCATAACATGTTGAAAATATGTGAGACAAATCTCGATATCCTCACTTCCAAGGAACACTCTGGTTGTACTTCTTTCAAGACAGATTTGCTCTGGCAGTCTACGGTATAGTCAATGTTCTTCACCAACACCACAATGCAAATGCATCAATTGTTCTTCAATCTTCCTTAATCACTGGCCAGTTTTTGCATGCATATGAGGCAATTGAAAATGTATGGCTTGAGTCATTTGCACCTTAGTCTTCAAAGTGACATCTTGCTTTTTAACATTTTGAAGACGTCTTCTGCAGATCTAATGCAATGTGTTGATTTCCTGACTGCTGTTCCCATGGGCATTGATTGTGGACCCAAGTAAAATGAAATACTCGGGCTCGGCCCAAGAGACACAGTAACACTACCATAGCTTTTTATTAGATATATCCTTTCTTGTGTATGAAGAGTCTTTATCTATTTTTTTGAATTAATCTCCAGATAAACCTTAGAAGCATAGTGCCATTGTTTTAAAAGAACAAAGCTGAGCTTTAACTTAGATTTCATTTCCACAAATTTTGACTCTTCCCTTTGAAATACTTATCTCCCCAATTAGATGGATTTCTTTGCATCTTACAAATTTATATATGTAGACACAGATATATACATATATGTACATTTATCTATTTGAAGGAGGCCTGGTTGTGCAGTGGGTAAGAGCTCAGTTGCTAACCAAAGGTCTGCAGTTCAAACCCACAAGCTGCTTGTCTTGGTTATCTAGTACTGCTATAACAGAAATACCAGAAATGGATGGCTTTAAGAGAAATTTATTCTTTTACAGACCAGTAGGCTACAAGTCCAAATTCAGGGCACTGGCTCCAGGGGAAGACCTCTACTGGCTCCAGAGGAAGGTCCTTGTCATCAGTCTTCCCTTGGTCTGGGAGCATCTCAGCACAGGAACCTCAGGTCCAAAGGACGTGCTCTGCTTCCGGTGGTGCTTTCTTGGTGGTACGAGATCCCCAACTCTCTGCTTCCTTTTCATTTCTTGTAAGATAAAAGGTGGTGCAGGCCACACCCCAGGGAAACTCCCTTTACACTGGATCACGGATGTGACCTTAGTAAGGGTGTTACAACCCCACCCTAATCCTCTTTAACATGAAATTACAATCACAAAATGGAGGACAACCACACAATACTGGGACTCATGGCCCAGTCAAATTGCTACATTTTTCGGGGAACGTAATTCAATCCATGATACTGCTCTTCGGAATAAAGATGTGGTAATCTGCTTTGGTAAAGATTACAGCTTTAGAAACTGCCTATGGGGCAGTTCTACTCTGTCCTATAGGGTCACCATGAGTTGGACTCAACTGAAAGGCACACAATATACATCTATCTACAAAGTCAGCACTAATATATAAATATGCTAAATTTTAATAAATTTTTAAAGGGCAAATTAAATTTCCTTTTTCAGTAGTTTGGACAAGTCTTCCAGTGAAGACACCTCAAAAGCTGGATGAATAAGATACATCATCCTAAAAGTATTAAAGAAATAAGATACTGAGCAATTGCTGGATGCAAGAATATAGAATTAGAGAGACAAAAGTCAAGCATTTCAGATGAACATTAACAATGGCAGCTGATTCAGTTAGAAAAATATGTAAGCAAGGTTCAGATGTAGAGGCAGAAGTTGGAGCTCAGGTTTCTGAAAAGTGGGAGCATATCAATATAACATATGGAATTTGCAGCCTGGCTATGAGTCATCCAAATGGGAATCTCAAGCTCTGAATGTCTTAAGGTTTCTGAAATTGGTAGCAACTTCAGATACCTGACAAAGCAAAACAAAAAACCTCTTTGGAAGAAGAAAAATGAATCTTTAATTATGTCTTTTATTAAAACATCTAACCTGATGACAGTTGTTGATCTTTGACAACAAATATAAGAGTGATTATTGTGTTTAGTATATGTTAAAAACTGTTTAAAAAAATAAGAAAACTTAATGAATGTTATGTCTACCATAGAACAAATTATCAGGCACACAGGGAATGAACCACCACAGACAACAGAAAGAGACACAGAAATGTAAAACACCTACGCTTTCCATGGAAACCCTCATGGTGTAGTGGTTAAGTGTTCAGCTCTTAACAAAAAGGTCATCAGTTTGAATCCACTACATGTTCCTTGGAAACCCTATGGGGCAGTTCTACTCTGTCCTATACTTTCCATAGTCATGAGGATAAAATGCAGAAACTGGAAAGAACAAATGACACTATAGATGTGCAAGGAATCAATTTCTGTACTGAAATATATAGTTAAAAAATTAGAGAGTGGAGATGCATTTAATAACATTCGATACACAGCAGTGGGTAGATTTCAACAACTGAAAAATAGATACAAATCCAATCAAAATAAAGCAGAGGTATAAAATTTGGAATATACTTAATCGTAAAAATGATGAAAAACTCATGGTAAGGAAGTAGTAGGTTGAAGCAGGCAAACCTTCTAGTAATCCCCAGCCTCTTTTTGGTGGACAATCTACTTTGTGTGCAAAAGTCTTTCCTCTGGTCATTTCTGGATTTTTAAAAGTCTACTCAACACTTTGAATTTTATCGCACATTGTTTGTACCTCTAATTCCAGGAGTGAGATCACAATTGTTAATCCCTAGTACAATTTGTGGGCTGACCTTCCTGTACCTTCATGTAAAATCCCTTGTTCTTTAACTGCCTTTTGACTATACCAGATTCTCTTCATCTTTACTACTCTTCTCTGCTCTTCTCCCACTTATTTACTTGACTGATTCATGACATTAGAAGCTGGCTTATCCTTACCCTCTCTCCTGATACTACTTTATGTATATTCTCAAATTCAGGAAATAATGTATTGTGAATAATGGGAGCCAGCAGCACTACTATAGAAAAGACTAACATATAAAGTGAAAAGGCTAAAATGAATCCTCTGGTGTTGGGCTGAAATCAGAGATATAGATATGGTCTTGCGGTTTTCAAAACAGAAAAATATAGAAATAGGTATAAATATGTCTTTGCACATGTACATATACACACATATATTTCCTAGCTCTTTCCACTTTCAGAGGTCAGTGGCAATAAGCATACCTAATGCCCAGATTGTTGTTTCTAAACATCACGCTCTAATAGAAGGAACTGGGGTTTCTTGGAGAGGTCTCATTCCACTGCTTAGGTAGGAAAACGATGAGCTGAACCTCGAACATTGGCAGAAATAATTTTTGAAATTATAATGGAAATATGTCAAATAAATGTAGGACCTTACTTAAGAAAATGCCTAACAACCAAATCTGGGACAATTTAAAAAGGTAATGTGAATTACCTGCTACAGTGACACTCCATAGGTTACGATCCTCCGACTTATGTAAAACCCATAGTTAGTTATGCACCAAGCCCTGTAAAGCCTTTGAAAATTAACAACCCCTCCTGTAAGAACTCAAGCATCCCTTGCACACTGGCAGCACAGTTTAAACCCACAGTTCCCTGACTACTTATAGCTTGGCAGAGGCTGGCGTACACCATGACATCACGTTTGGAGTGGCGCAGAAGTATGTTCAGTGCTCAGTGTTTTACTTTCACCCCCACCCATCCCACCCCACAGTGGGGTATGCATGCACATTGCCCATGCAGGCTACCTCCTGACTTATCCAAGTCAGGCGTGGGGGTGGGGTATAGCAAGACCAAATCCAGCTGGGCATCAAAGATTCACAATAACAAATGGGCTGTTACAACGTGTATCAAAACATTATCACTGTATTTTTGTTAAAAGTATTTTAGTGTACCTATATTCTTTAATGTTTTTTAATGCACAAAGTATATACTGCATACTGACACAAATATTTGACTAACATTGGATGTGAACCTTACCTGTTCCGACTTTTACATAGAAATTCAAATTAAAGACAGACACAGAAAGGAAACTTGTTCATAATCCAAGCACTGCTTTTACTGTTATAAACAATTTCATAAATACATAAAAGAAAAAGCTACATTTTACAGAACTTAATAAATGTAGAAGAAATGATTTGAAGAGAGTACCATTTAGTAAACACCACAGTAGTAAAAATCATAGATAATTATCGATGCATACTAAAATTAGTAAGCTAATGTAAAATGAAAAATATTTGAACTGTTTCAAAGTATGGCCCTATGAGAAACTTACTAATTGTAAAGAGTAAAACAGTTAACTTTACAATAGGACAGAATGGAAGGCAACGTGCTAAATATGAAAACAAAAACAAAAACAAAAAAACCACCCTTAAACGAAATACAAGAAGAGTGCATTTTACTATATAAAATAACATTGATAAAATCATTAAGAAACAGAAAATGACATTTGCTCAAGGCTACTCCCTTCAGGGTCATCTGTTATAGTCAAGGACTTTCAGAAAGGAAAATTTAGCTTAGACTGAGAAAGTAACAAACACTGATGAGAACAATCCTATATTGAAAATGAAATTTTCATTTCTGTCAAAGGCACAAAGGAGCTCTAGTGACCCCTTCTTTAAGATAGTATTTCTTCGTTAATCACTGAGAAACTTTTTGTCCTTTAATTATAGTCTTTCAGAAATTTGCTATTTGAAATTACAGAATTATGGATGGAAGATCTCTTTTGACACAGCAGTCTCTCCACTGTGAGATCTTACATGTGAAGTGAGGTGTGAATGACGAAAGGCTTTCACACGTTCTTTACATTCATAAGGCCTCTCTCCACTGCGAGTTCCCCTAAGACTAGTTAATTCTGAGCAACAACTGGAAGCTTTCCCACATTCCTTACATTCATAAGGCCTCCCACCACTGTGAGTTCTTATATGTTTAGTGAGGGATGAGGCCTGACTAAAGGCTTTCCCACATTGCTTACATTCATAAGGCCTCTCTCCATTGTGAGTTCTTATATGTGTAGTGAGAGATGAGGCCTGAGTAAACGCTTTCCCACATTCTGTACACTCATAAGGCTTATCTCCACTGTGAGTTCTTAAATGATTAGTTAGGTGTGAGGAACAATTAAAGGCTTTCCCACATTCCGTGCATTCATAAGGCCTCTCTCCACTGTGAATCCTTCTATGTGTAATGAGGTTTGAGGCTTGCCTAAAGACTTTTCCACATTCTTTACATTCATAAGGCCTTTCTCCACTGTGAATTCTTATATGTGAAGCGAAATTAGAAAAATACCTAAAGGCTTTCCCACATTCCTTACACTGATAAGGTCTCTCTCCACTGTGAGTTGTTACGTGTGTAGTGAGGGTTGAAGCCTGACTAAAGGCTTTCCCACATTCCTTACATTCATAAGGTCTCTGCCCATTGTGAGTTCTTACATGGTTAATAAGGTGTGATGACTGACGAAAGGCTTTCCCACATTCCTTACATTCATAAGGCCTCTCTTCACTGTGAGTTCGCATATGTGTAGCGAGCTGTGAGGGCCAACGAAAGGCTCTCCCACATTCCTTACATTCGTAAGGCTTCTCTCCACTGTGTGTACGCATATGTGCAGTTAGGCGGGAGGGCCAACTAAAGGCTTTCCCACATTCCTTACATTCATAAGGTCTCTCTCCAGTGTGAGTTGTTATATGTCTAGTGAGGGTTGAGGCCTGACTAACGGCTTTCCCACATTCCTTACATTCATAAGGCCTGTGCTTATTGTGCGTTTTTATATGGTTAGAGAGGTGTGATGACTGACTAAAGGTTTTCCCACATCTCTTACATTTATAAGGTCTCTCTCCACGGTGAGTTGTTACATGTTGAGTGAGAGACGAAGCCTCACTAAAAGCTTTTCCACATTCCCAATATTCATAAGGCTTATCTCTGTTATGTAAAATAAGGGATAAAGAATGACTATAGGTTTTACAACATTCTTTACATTCACTCTTATGACCTCTCACATGTGTCCAAAATGATGAGAAACTATAGAAATCTTTCCCATATTCATTACAGTTATAGTGTTTCTCACCAGTGAGTATTGTCACAGGATTCTTAATGGTTGAGATACAAACCAAGTCATTCCCACATACCCCACAATTATGAGGTTTCGTTCCGTTAAGAGTTCTCATAGGAGTGGTACAACTGCAGGCTTCTCCACATGCAATAAACTGACAGGTATTACATCCATTGTGGTATCTGGTATGACAGTTATGTGATGAGGGATCCGTGAAGACTTTTCCACACTCAGAGCATTCAAAAGGATTTACTTCTGTATGATTTCCTTTTAACACAGTAAGATTTGGAACCTGGCTGAACGTTTTCTCACACTGATTGCCTTCATTAGTTTCACAGATGTTTTCTACTGTATGACTTCTGTTAAAAATAGGCAACAGGTTGTTGGAAATAAGCTGTTTCCACTTCACCATTACCAAACACAGGGAACATGCATAGTTTTTGCCCTACTTGTCTCATATTTCAAAGGTTAAATCATCTAGCAGAAATACCACCACAACCGTCACTGGTTTTCTAAAATATGAGGCTTTCTGATCATTGTGTTTATGTGAAATATGCTTCAAACACTCAATGTCTCACACACATTTATGAAAATGTTGTAAAGACTCTCTGAATAAATAAGTTTACAGCTAGGTTTACATATATATAAGCACATATCAGGGCCTCGAACCAGTTCCTAACAGTTCAGCAACTGCCAACGCAAATGAGAGTAGTGTTCGCGTTGCATATCTGTTACCCATAATATTTTTGACCTGAGTTGGAAACAAATAGCTGAGCCCTGCTCAAAGATGGCAGCCAATTGCACAGCTTTCAATGTGTGTTGCTTCCTATAGTCCTGTCAATAATCCAGTCTCCTGAATGGATCCCAAAAGTTTAAGGCACCTGCTGAAGAGCACTGGATTATTGGCAGGACTGTAAAGAGCAACATTCAAAGGGGAGCAGTGGGCCACCATCTTTGTACAAGGCACCACTGTTTCCTGCTCAGGTCAAAATCCGACGGGCAACAGAGTTGGTGGCTATGAAATGCGTACACTGTCCTTTACGTTTGCAAATACTGAGCTGTTACAGATGAATTCAAAGTCTTGGTATATATACATAAACATGTTAATGTGTATTTTAATATCATGACACCGTGGGATTTTCTCCTGAAGCACTGTTTTCTCTTGCTTGAATGACACTCACCTCAAATGTCTCTCTTGGTTTTTATGATGATCTTTATTTCCATGCGATTGTGAGATTTCTCCTAACGCGGAGGACCAGGTGTTATTTTTCATGTATTGCACCATTATAACTTCGCTGGATAACTTCTCTCCATCCTTAAGATTTTGAGAAACTGACCCAATAATTCAAGTTGAGGTTCATATGTGAAACAAAAAAGAAAGGAATTATTAGGGGAAGAAAGATCACTGTTAATAAGGAAAGACTTAACCACATTTCATTGTTTAGCAATGGTTAAAAAGCAGTTTAGTAGGAAGTACTTCCAACAGCCTTGAGAGTGAAGGTGACATGAACAGGGGTACTTAGGAGAGCTAGGTAGAAAGCAATCGGACAAAACACACATGTAACATTAAGAGAAAAAGGGTCTCCATGACCACAGGGGTGAGATGATTGCTAAAATTAGAAAAGATAGCTCAGGTATCTGTGAAGCTATGTCTCTGGGAAAACAAATGTGTACAGCTGACATGGTGCTCATGGAGAAATGCACATCATGAATGAGGACAGTGAAGAGTAATGAGCACCTCCTTGACACTAAGCCAGCACTTTGCTCTTCATGGTCTCTGAAGATGGACAGATGTGAGTTCATTTGCAGCAAAATAATCATGTGACACTTGTAATCAACACAGTAATACTCTCTACAGGGTTCCAAAATACAATACTCTCAGTGCCCCAAAGTGATCCTTGAAGCCAGTGCTTACATTTACAATATTTAAAGAGTCTCAGGTCTTTTAATCACAAGAGAAATGAAATCTAAGTGTAATACATAGAGCTTTGTATTCATGGTCAAGCCAGAATATATGAGCTCTACAGACCAAAGGGCCATGTGTGGTTTATTTAACGATTTAGTCCCATTTCTCAGCCCAAATACTAGAGTAAAGTCAATGAGTAAAATATTTTCGTTCACTAAAGGAATAATAGAAAAAAGAAAAAAAGGATACCATTCTTACCTACTGAAGCCAGGTTTCTGAAGGTTTGTATCATCACATCTCTGTAGAGTTTCCGCTGAGTAAGATTCAGCAAAGCCCACTCTTCCTGGCTAAAGACCACAGCCACATCCTCAACAACCACTGGGTCCTAAAACAACCCACACATTCTGGATCAGCAAGGTACCATGTACTCCAATGTGCATAAGAATGAAGGGTGAGGCTGACAGTCCTGGAGAATTGAGAATTCTTAGGGATTTAACACAAGGTTCTGTGTTCTACCCAGGTCTGCTCTAGAGTATAGCCATCACCCTTGTCCCTTCACTAACTACATTCACTTCCTCACTGACTGCATCCTGTCTCACAGAATTCTAACATGCTGAAATGATCTCTCTATAGTCTGACTGCAATCAATTGCACTCATAGTCTTCTCTCCGTTTACAGTCTACAATGGTTAGAAAACAGCAGAAATTACAGAGAAACGCTCTCATTCAGATCTTCACTTCCTTGTGAACAATTACACCTCCTTCCATAAGACCTACCAGAGCACTCAACAAAACACAAAGCACAAGGTGAAGACAGGATAAGGTATTAGCAACTGGTAAAAGCTGCAGAATGGCAGTCCTAGTTTTGCTCTTGACAACCACAGGACTAGGAGCTAGCATAAACAAACTGGCAAACCAAACACAGAGCTTGTCACATTTTCTTGAACTCTAGGAGATAAGAATGTAACAGGTCCACAAACACAGTCTAATGTTACAAGATGACAAAGAGCACAACCTCTGCAGAAACAAGAACAGCATGCCCTTGTGTTTGCTTAGCGAGAAGAGATTACAATTCCCATTTTGCAATGACTGGCAAACATGATAAATGTAATCAATGTCATCAAATTATACATGTAAATAGCGTTGAACTGGCAAATATTATGTATAATTTTTACCACAAAAAAAAATTCATTTTGTCAATAAGCTGAAGTGCAATTTACCTGTAAAATTGCCTGTGAAGCCTAGGAAATGGAGACTTACACTCCAAACCTCTAGAGGCTCCACTCCAAATTTTCCCAAATTTGCAGCCCGTGGAAGGCACCCAACCATGACTACCTGAACCCTGACCACTGGAATCTCCTGGTCTGTAAGAGTGACCTCTGTGAAAGAGCACCAATCCAGTGGCTTTCTCATGTCTTGAGGAGAGAAAAGGCTGCTAAAATACACCTTCAGTGCTAAAACAGATCAGCTTTAGAATAAGAAACCACTCTTGTCAGGGAAGTGGCGAAGTGAGCAGTCTATGTCATCTCTGATCAGTCCTGGTATGATGGGGTCACAACAAACTTTGAACTAGAGCCAAAATCTAAAAGTCTCCACTGTAGTCAGCCAGACCATATATTTTACAGTCAACAAAAATCCTGTTATTATACAATAATGATAAAATGTTTCACGTATTGAACAACTTTGATTTTTATCTCATGACTCTTCAAAGCTGATATAATTTCAAATAGGTCATAGCTGAGGAAAGTTAGACATACCCATTTAATCACATGCTCCGTGTTTCCCACATGGAACATGGCTGAACCAGGATCACGATGCAGATCAGTTTGTCTCTGAAGTCTAAATTCTCGACAACTACATTTCTGTTCCTATGCATCAGTTTTGTTATAATCCAATAACACCACAGATGGACTAGAGCCCTGGTGGATACTAGGAAGAGAAGACAAAGGAAACATTCAATTCATACAACTAGAACGTACCTCTCCTGGCAAAGCTTTGTGTCTCAGACAAGACTTCTTCCCTTCAGACTCTTAGCTGCAGTTACTTTCATTTATTAAAATTGATTGAGGTAACACTGACACAGAGCCTACTGTATGCTGACAAAACAAATACAGCAGTGAACAAAATACCCACATCAACATGGATCATCAGTTGACTGAACAGTAAATTTAAATAAATATATACATAAACTATCACGTGGCAATATGTTTTATAAAAAAACTTACATCTCTCAGAAAAAACTGTTCTAGAAGGAGGAAACAGCCTGAGAACAGGCCAGAAAATGGGAAGCTGTTTTGTATGTTTCAGGAAGAGCCAAATGCCAGAATGACTGGCGCAGAATGTGATGCAGATGAGAAATAGTATAGGAATCTGGAGAGCTGACTGGGGTCAGTGGCCATATCATTTCCTGTTGAACTTGGCAACTGAAAAGAATCTGGCTTTTAATCTGAGTGAAATGCTGAAAAATTTTACATTTCTGAACAGAGAAGGAAACTGATATGATACCTGTTAATCCTTTTAAGACCAAAAATGCTCCAGTGCCTGGGGGGGGGGGAGTCAAGAACACTGTTCAGAAACACGGGACAAGGAAGCCTCTGGAGGGCCAGGGCTCAGCCTCCACAGCCAGAGCTGCTCGGTGTTCAGATACTGGTCAGGAGACTCTGTCATTCAACAGAGAGCACCAAAACTCAGCGTGGGGATGTTAGTGCCCCATGATGTTGCCTCTTGAGAATCACTTAAGGAGGGTGACCCCAGACATCCAAATCTTGAAAAACCATGTATGTATAGAGGAAGGGCCCAGAGACAGTGGAGCCTTAGGGTGCCTCCTAGAGCTTAGCCTCTCGACCTCCTCTGCCATCTTTTTCTTCACTGGAACCACAGTCCCGCAGCAGAAAGATGCTCCCCCAACAATTCATATCACTTACGCTAAGGATAACCCAGTCCTCACCATTTCTGTCTCCAGCTTCTGGAAGTTTAAGGGAATGTCATCTCTAAGTCCAAGAAGCCACTTCAGGCAGACGAATGAGAGTGAAAGCAGAGCACTGTAAGTTTTGAAGCAGATGAATGATGTTTGGTCCACACACTAGTCTGAGCAGTTGAAATCCTTCCTTGTAATTTACAGATGTGCAAGATGGTCGCCCCAGGTCCCCAGCTGCCTGGACTGGACTACTTCTTGCACCACACTTGAGACCTGAAACAGAAAAAGGATGGGGAGCAAACAGAATTAAGGAAGCAGGAAGTTAGAGGTTTCTGACTTCCTCCCAGGCTCAGGGCCATGCTCCACCCTGAGGGCATTTACACTGAAGGCATAACAGGCTCCAGCCTCCAGAGCACATGCCTGCATTCTTCATGCAGCTCCATGGGCCTCTTTGTTCTGCCAACAAGATCATGGATGGAGGAATTTACTTATTCCAGAGCACTGAAGCAACCAGGCCTGTCCAGGCTGCAAAACTTTAACCTGATTTCCTCCAGGAAGTCAGGGGTCCAGGGTTGAAGTTGTCTGTTCACCTATGTAACTTTATCCATGATAACAAATATCGCTGTTATCTGACATTAACATGGATGAATTCTTTTTTTTTAATCATAGTTTAAATGAAAGTTTACAATTCAAATTAGGCTCTCATACAAAAATTCATACATACTTTGTAACCCTAATTGCTCTCCCTATACTTCGACAGCACACTCCTCCTTTCCCACTCCTGATTTCCTGTGTCCATTCAACTAGCTCCTGACACTCTTTCTCATCTCACCTGCGGACAGGAGCTGCCAATTTAGTCTCATGTATCTATTTGAGCTAAGAAGCACACTCTTCACGAGTATCATTTTATGTCCCATAGACCAGTCTAATGCTTGTTTGAAGAGTTGGCCTCAGGAATGGTTTTAGCGCTGGGTTCTGGGGTTCCTCCAGTCTCAGACCATTAAGTCTGGTCTTTTTACTAGAATTTGAGTTCTGCACCCCACTTTTCTCATGCTCCATCAGGGACTCTCTATTGTGTTCCCTGTCAGGGTGGTCATTGGTGGCAGCCAGGCACCATCTAGTTTTTCTGGTCTCAGGCTGATGAAGTCTCTAGTTTATGTGGCCCTTTCTGTCTCTTAGGGTAATATTTTCCTAGCGTCTTTGGTGTTTTCCATTCTCCTTTGCTCCAGGTGAGTTGGGACCAACTGATGCAGCTTAGATGTACGCTCGCTAGCTTTTAAAACTCCAGACACAACTCACTAAAGTAGAATGCAAAACATTTTCTTAATAAACTTTGTTATGCCAGTTGACCTGAAAGTCCCCTGAAAGCATGGTCCTCAGACCCCCACCCCTGCTACTCAGTCCCTTGAAGTGTTTGGTTGTATTCAGGAAACTTCTTAGCTTTGGTTTACTAACATGGATGAGTTTTTAAGAAGAACATATTTTTCAAATATTGACAATGAACTCATTGGAGTTCATTTATTTTTTAATTATGTGCTGTAAAAAACCTTGTGACTTTTAAAACATTTTCATCTCATGTACAGTACTGTAATATTTAAGCAGTATTTTTTCTGTTCCTTTTACAATTAATTAGCATTTCTCTCTGTCCCTTGAATTTTCCAGGTTTTCTTCCCCCCTTCATTTTCAAAGCATGAGAACACCACTCCCTAAGCTTTTGAGAAATACGGGAGGATCCTGAACCCGTCGTCTTTCAACCTTATATTAAATCGATCAAGAAATAAATCAGAAAATCTTTGTTATCACTAAGGAGCCGTCTCCTGCCTCTCTTCCTGCTTCTTTTCACCCTGCTCTCCCTCCATGTTGACTCCTATTTTTTCATTTCTTGGTCTCAGTGTCAATATTTTCTCTCTCGCATGATGATTACACCAGTGTCTCCCCTCTAGGCATTACCCTTATTATTTTCTCTAATGGCACTCCCTAATTTTGATTTACATCATTATTTATACACTATTATTTCCAGCACAAACTAGGAGCCAGCACAAACTAGGAGCTTGTTCAGTATGTACACTCTCAAGCCCCCCCCCAGAATTGTTGAATCAAAATTCGCATTTCAACAAGTTCCCAGGGTTATCCACATTGACACTCAACTGGGAGAAGCATCCACTGATCTACAGCCTGTAACCCAAGGAATGAGCCTTCTGATGCCCTTTCATACATCCACATCTACATATCACTACACTGTCTTCCTGATCTAAAATCTCCATGTCTAGGCCTCCTCACAGCCTTCCTTAACTTGTTGATAAGAAGCTCCTGCCTGATGTCATTCAACCATGACTGTCACTTGCAAAATCTATCTGCAGCACAGAAAATAATTAATGCTATGTCTGTCCACTGGCCTTCCAAAAACCCAGGGTAGTCACAGCATGGTTCTAAATGACCTGCTCCAATCCGGTTCACACAAACCCTTCCAGCCACACGTTGTTTTCCCTGCTTCAATCATCTCTGATTTTCATCAATGAATAATAGATAACACTGGGCTCTCCGCTGTCTCAGGGATTTACACATTTATTTTTCCCAACGGAAATACTCTTTCCACCACCACCCATACAACATGGTATCAGACCTACACAACCGTGCATGTAGCTTTAAAAAAAAAAAATCCAATTTTCTGAATCTTCACTTAAATAATTTTCCTTTTCAAACAGTCTAACTTCACTCTTGGGTAAGGTCTTTTTAATACAAGTTCACGTCTTTAGTTTTTTATTATTTATTTAAAATTGTCTCCCATGCTAGACTGTAAATCTATGGGCAGACTATAAAAATCTGTATCTTCTTTTCTTGTTCCTTCTGATCAGTGACACTGATCATCGAGGACACACACAGATTATCACCTGTTGTATATACTCTTGAGCAGCACTATCCAAGAGACCTTTCTGTGAAGATAGACACGTTCTGTTTCTGCACAGTCCAATATGGTAGCCTCTAGCCCCATGTGCCTGTTTACTACAGAACATATGACTAGTACAACTAAGAAACTGTACTTTTAGTTAACTTTAAGTGAAATAGCAACATCTGGCTAGTGGACATCACAGCTTTAGTGGACTCACCAGAACATTAAGCAACCAACACAGCAGAGAGGGTGTGAAAGCTGCCATCAGTACAATGCAGAGCTTCACAGCTTTTTGTTTACTAAAAGCTTGTAACATAGGGAAACAGAACTGCTAAAAGCAAAGATACCATTTAAAATGCTTGTATTTACATAATATTAACGTCACCCTAAATTGAATTTAACTCATTCTGTAAACAGCAATGACATTTAAACATAGAAATGAGTGGGAGTAACTGAGGGGATAGGAGTGGCACTCTCTGTAGAGGAGACATTTCAAGTGAGACCCGAATTATAAGTATTATTGGATTCCTATTGTTTAAAAGTTTTCCTCTAATCAGAAAAAATACCTCGTTCAAACGCTGAAAGACAGGGAACATCTTGACATCACTGAAGAAGTTTTTCTAAAGATATGTCAAGAGACCATCGAACATGAGTGTGTTATCAACTTTAGTCAGAAAGTTATACATAAGCTTGAGTGTGTAGGATCTTGTTGGCCAATGTAAAATATGTGGATTTTATTCTATATGTGACTGACAGCTTACCTAGTTTACACTGTTGAAATATGCCTCTTGTTGCTGGGTGGAGAGTGTACCTTTTCGTGACGAGAAAAGTAGACGGACGTTCAGAGGCTGCTTTCACAAGAGAGCTCTCCTCTCAGAGTAGCTTGGACTATTTCCCCTAATCTAGTGAATGGATGCTGATGCCACTTACTTGTTGGGAAAGCCAGGTAAGAAGATTTGTTCAGGTGAAATTTTAAAAACTCTGTCTTGGACATGTTACGTTTCGGAGCCTTACAGTCCTTAGTGTCCTAAGTGGACTATGGGAAGAACTTGATATGAGTCCATTGGCACCCAAGAGCCCATCTTTTTTTCCCATACAAAAAATTATAGATTGTTATGTGACTCTAATTGCTCTTCCCATACTGTGACAACATACTCCTCCTTTCCACCTGATTTCTCGTATCAATTCAACCAGCTCCTAACCCTCTCTGCCTTCCCATCTCACCTCCGGACAGAAGCTGCCCCTTTAGTCTCTTGTATCTACTTAAGCTGAGAGGCACACTCCTCACAAGTATCACTTTATGTCCCACAGTCCAGTCCAATTCCTGTCTGAAGAGTTGGCCTCGGAAATTGTTTTAGTTCTGGGCTGATAGAGAATCCAGGGACCACGCGTTCTGAGTTGCCTCCAATCTCAGACCATTAAGCCTGGTCTTCTTACTAGAATTTAAGTTCTGCACCCCGCCTTTCTCCTGCTCCGAGACTCTCTGTTGTGTTCCCTGTCAGGGCAGTCATTGGTGGTAGCCAGGCACCATCTAGTTCTTGTCTCTGGCTGATGAAGTCTCTGGTTTATGTGGCCCTTTCTGTCTCTTGGGCTAATGCTTTCCTTGTGTCTTTGGTTACCTTCATTCTCCTTTACTCCAGGTGGTTGGGACCAATTGATGCATCTCAGATGGCCGCTTGCAAGCTTTTAAGACCCCAGCTGCCACTCACCAGAGGCAGAACATTTTCTTTAAAAGCTTTGCTATGCCAATTGACCTAGATGTCCCCTGAAGGCATGGTCCCCAGGCCCCTACCCCTGCTACTCTGTCTCTCAAAGTATTTGATTGTATTCAAGAAACTTCTTAGCTTTGGTTTAGTCGTTATGCTGACTTCCCCTGTAGTGTGTGCTGTCCTTCCTTTCACCTAAGTCTTGTCTACTATCTAGTTAGTAAATAACTCTCACCCTCCCTCCCCACCCTTGTAAACATCAAAGAACATTTTCTTCTGCGTTTAAACCTTTTCTTCAGTTTCTACAATAGTGGTGTTATATATTTGTTCTTCTCTGCCTAAATTCACTCAGCGTAATGACCTCCAACTTTCTCCATGTTATAAGATGCCAAGAACCCATATCTTAATCTGTGGGCTGTCTCCTGCTGGCCATGAAGAATGAAAATGTGACCTCTGAAAGAGGGTGCATTCTCACTTCTGAAGCTTGAAGCTAAGGAAAGGAAAAGCACAGTGCTGGAATGGGCTAGACCTTTACCAAATAATGGTTTGTGGCATAGAGTCTAACGACTGACAGTAGATATCAGATTACTCTACTAATGGATTGGGTGATCTTGATGTAGACCAGATGCTGCTGAGTACAGTGACTTTCCGGATGAAAGGTTTGTTTTCTGCTTGACTTCCCAGACTCTGTTAAGCCTATTCTCCTGTGTGGAGGCGTCCCTTATTTTAACTGTACCACTGCTGTTTATACACTTGCTCACGTTACAATTATTTGCTTTGTAATCACTCAGGTGTATTTGGTTGAAGCAACTGAAATTGCATTTTGGGTAGTTCAGAAAAAGTCCAATGTGGAATTCCATGTGGTTTAACCTGTTTTATTGAACAAGAAATTAAATGACTATCGTGTGTGTGTGTGAGAAACAGAATCAAAATAAAATTTGGAAAGCTTTCTTCACTGAAAAAAAAAGTTGATACTGTGGTGGTATACGAGGAGCAAGTCTTAGATTCTGAACTAGGAAAATTTAGTAATTTTGAAGGAGGCTTGAATTTGACATGAAGTGACTACATTATGAGTCATGTCTCCAAGGGGAACTCCCATGCAAAACAAGAGTACTTCTGTAATATCTATCTCTAGAGAAGAAAAACAAAAAACACAATGCACCACCGTTTTTCTACCTATGTAGAGATAACAAGTGGTATTTAATGATCAGTTTTATTCTATACACTTTGGTAGTTTTTGACTCATGAAATATGTTTACAATTTTAAAGAAACACATTAATTTTCTGCACATACTAGTTTTCAACAATGGATTCTTAGTGATGATATCAAAAAGCTCAAGCAATAAAAGACAAAACAGATAAATTAAAAGTCTTGTGCATCAAAGGACTCTGTCAACAACGGGAAGAGACAACCTAAAAAATGGGAGAAAATACAGTGAAACTTCTAACAGCTGGAATTCAACAAACTGCCTTGTTTTTCTGGGTCTTGCAATTTTTCTGCCTTGAGGCAGTGCAGCCTTACCACTTTTTGGTCACTTGTTTAGTGGAAACTATTTTAGTTTTCCTACTCTGACAGGTTTTCACCTCAGGTTTTGGCTTTCGCAGGTTTCACTGCATTTGGAAATCATATATGTCATAAGAGTTTAGTATCCAGGACTTAAAAAAAACTTCCGTCTCTCAGCAACATATAAACAAACCAATTTAAAAACGGGCAAAAAACTTAAAAAGACATTTCACGAAAGATGATAAGCAAATGGTCGATAAACACATCAAAAGCTGCTGCATGCCCTTGTCATTAGGGAAATGCAAATCAAAATCACAAGACATACTACCTCATCCTTACCAGAATGAATACTATAAGAAAATAACAAGAGTTGGGTAGAATGTGAAGAAATTCCTGATAGTTTGTAAAATGGTTCAGCCTCTGTGGAAAAGTATGGCTGTTCTTCAAAATGTTAAACATACAAATACCCTGTAACTCAGAAATTTTCATTTTTAGGAGGCCTGGTGGTGCAAATGGTTAAGTATTCAGCTGCTAACCAAAAGACTGGTGGTTCAACATGACAACAAAGAGAGTGGATGCTGAGATTACTTATGTACAACCAAACACCTCATGGGACTTGGCTCCTTGGTTTGGAGGTTTACGGTTATGCTTTCATGGGACATCTCGGTTAACTTGCCTAATAACGTGTTTACTGCTTTTGTCCTACCTCTTAGTTTACTGCGTAGTGCCTGCAGTCTTAAAAGCCTGCAAGCTGCCATCCAAGGACTACACTGGTCTCTATTTACCTGGAGCAACAGAGGAAGAAGTCGAGTCAGGAATAGGAGGAGGATATGGAATATGTGGATAATTGTCTCCAAGAACAACTGCCTCATTTGCCATGAGAACAGAAGAACTGGATAGTGCCTGGCTACCACTAATGAATATTTTCATCAAAAATTCCATAGAAAAATCCTGATCCAGAGGGACAAAATGCAGAACAGAATTGCAAATTCTCTTGGACTCCAAGCTCCTGGAGCCACAGAGGTTGGATAAACCCCTGAAGCTACTGTCTTGAGATAATCTTTAAACTTTAAACCAAAAATATCCCTTAAGTCTTCTTAAAATCGAACAGTTTAGCTTAACTACTAAAAAACGTCAGCCTTCTGCATTTTGCTCTTGTAAGAACGATGTATGTGGGATCAAATTGAAAACAGCAACTCCAAAGATTTGATAGGAACCTTAGGGAGTCATGAATCTATGTTAAGGGAGAAAGAACAACTCAAAAAAGTTGAGTGAAAAATGGTCACACAACTCGAAGAACCTAATCAATGTCACTAAATGGTACATGTAGAAACTTGAACTGGTGTATATTTTGCCATCTATGTTCTCAACAACAAAAAAATAAAACTGTAATTAAAAGAAATAAAAAAAGGTTGGCGGTTTAAACCCACCCAGCACCTATGCAAGAAAGACCCTGTGATGCGCTTCCACCCAGTTCTACTCTTTCACATGGGGCCGCTATGAGTCTAAAATTGCATAAACGATACCTAACATAACATGTATATACCAAAAACGCTTAAAAGGACGTAAACAGGTATTTTTACAACAATGTTCAAGCAGCACTATTCATAATAGCAAAAAAAAAAAAAAAAAAATGTAGAAAAACCAAATGCCCATCAACAGATGCATGGATAAAGAAAATGGAGTATCATTCAGTCATAAAAAGAAACGAAATTCTCATAAATACTAAGATATGGATGAACCCTGAAAACACTATGCTAAGATAAATAAGTCAGACACAAAACTACAAATATTGTACATTCCCATTTAAACATCTAGAATACGCAGATATACAGAGACCAAATTGTGACTAGGGGAAGATGCAAGGGAGGAGGGGAGTTAATGCTTAAGAGACACCGAGTTTCGCCTAAGGGTGATGGAAAATCTTGGAAACTGGCAGTGGTGATGGTTGCACAACATCGTGAAAGTAATTAATGTTGCCGAATTGAGTATGTAAAAATGGTTGAAACAGGAAATCGTTTTGTTACATGTATTTTACCACACACACGCAAAGATGGCATGAAATGTCACTACTAAAAAAAGACTTAGATTCTTGGTCTGAGTGTAAGTGAAAGGAGGGAAATTTAGATACTATGAGGATATAGAGAGGAAAGTAGGTATTTATAAGATTTCTTGCCAACCTTAGGCTGTACTGACCTAGAGAAATAAAATCACATTTGAGGAACTGCAGTGAGTAAAGAATTGGTTTTTTAAGGTAATTAGATCTGGATCACCTTGTTATTCATATGAAAAAAAAATAACAAAAAAAGACAAAACTGCTTCCATAATCTATATATATACAACATGAACTATAATTAGTAGCAATTAAAGAAAAGATTAAGCACTGGCATTCCCAAAGATTTCTCCAACAGGACACTTAAATGTAGACACTTTAAATTTGCTTCATAGGGTTTTCAATGCTGTGATCTTTCAGAAGCAGATCGTCAGTCCTGTCTTCCAAGGCACATCTGGGTCAGTTCAAACCACCAAACTTTCAACTAATAATCTGAACCTTTCCCACCACCCACGGACTCCCTACTTGACTCTTTTACTCTGTAAAATAATTATTGCCAAAGACGAAGTACTTTTTGCAAAACTGTACTGTCTCTGACCCTCTAGTATCTTCTGAAGTATTCTGAATACTTTCATTACACAAGCCTTCCATCTTCCCCTCTTTCCTAATAGTCGCTGTTCTGACACTGGGAATATGCACGGTTTGTGCTCTAAAAAGCTCTTTGGTAGTAAAAATTGTGGTTCAATCCCCAGCATTCAATCCAGCACAGATCACGCACACTGGGTGTGTGATCTCTATAAATCCTTCATCGCCTGAATTCAGCTGGCTCAGCAACATCACATTTTATATCAGTCCAACTAGGACTGGCTGTATTGTTTCTCACAGAATCATGATGAAAATGTCTGCCTTAAGCCAAATGATTTCCTCGAAATGGGCCTCTTACTAAACGTTTTCCTCCAGAAATTGGGATAAACATGGTCCTAAATGTACATACTAGTTCCAACTCATGCTCCTTGATTGTTCATTGGTCTTAAACACATATAACCATTAAAAGAGATGGATATACTCCTCACCACAATCTTCATTTCTGTATGACCAGCAACACTTAACAAAGGTCCTGCCTAATGAAGCACAGAAAACAAAGAGGAGCCATTTTAGGCAAGGAGACTGTGATCAAGATTATGCCTCTAGAAATAACAACAGACCTGAATTTGGGTTCAGACACTGTCACTTACTAGGTATTTGTCCACCGGCAAGCTATTTAATTTCTCCAACACTACTCCTTCTGTGAAATGCCGCAAATACTCCCTCCTCACGGTGTCGTTTTGTGAATAAAAGGAGATGCAGTATACAAAGTACCTGGCACACTACCCAGCCCTTCTGAAATACCTCAATAAAAGATAAATACGCACACAGGCCGCGGGCGACTGAGGCCTGATGAGGAGCTAAACGCGACTGCAGTGTGTGTGTGTGTGTGTGTGTATTAAGGCGCGGTGGAAGATGAGAACAAAGGGGCACGGGGGCGGCGGGCGGGAGGTGGGGGCAGGGCACTGAGACGCAGGCGAGCGACCCCGGCGCCCGTGAGGCCCAGGACCCTGCATTTCCCACGCGCTCCCTGTGCCGCTGACGCCGCTGCCCCGAGAAGCACGCGTGTGCGCGGCGAGGGTTCCCACGACCTCACCTGTGAAAGCACCGAGAGACACAGGTCCCACCTCCGCGGCCTCCAGGAAGCAGCTGCGGCCGCGGGGCCGGGGGCGCAGAAGCCGCCAAGTGGCGGCGGCTCCCCGGCTACAGGGAGTCCCGAGGTTCTGAGAGACCAGGAATCCGCGGGGAGAGGGCGCAGCGCCCTCAGATCCGGGACAGGAGCTGCGGGTCACCCGCTAGCGGAACAGGACGACCGGCGACAGGGCCACAAGGGCCTCACACCGGAGCCGGAGGGCACCGACAAGGCTACCGAACTAGGACACACACTTCCGCTTCCGGGGACGCTCGGTGAGCACGGGAGGGCTTCCGTGCGGGAACCCAGGGCGTTCTAACTCGAGACCCCGTGGTTCAGTGGTTCCCTCTGGTGTTTTCTATCTGGCCCCGGTTGTCCTTATTTCCTCTTTATTACGCCAAAGTAACTGTTTTAGACCTTTATTTCCTAAATTACCCATTAAAATTAATACCCAAGACGTACTGTGTATCGTTTATGTAATCGTTGTCTTTTGTAGGCCACAATTTGTAGTAATATCCAGGAAACTTAACCGGACAAACTATATTTGTGCTTCCATCTACTGTTGCCTAAGGATAATTGTGACCTTATTTACTCTTCAGTTAGACCAGTGGTTTCCAAACTTCATTCCACAAACAAATCACATGTGAATCTTACTAAAATCTAGATTGTGATTCTGTAGGTCTGGGGTGGGGCCCCAAAACCTGCGTTTCTGATAAGCTTCCAAGAGGCAATGGTGCTGCTGGACCATAGATGACACTTGGAATCAGAAGCAATTAGATGGTGATTAGAACTATCACCACTGAATTATTTTATTAACGGAGGAGACATTTTCCTGATGGTACTGGAATACACACGGTGCACACATGTCTTCCTGTGGGTAAACTATTGTCCATCCCTGACAGCACTTAGTAGCAGGCAAGGTGAGCCCCTACACCACCCCATTGTCTCTCACTTGTATGTTGTTAATCAGTGTGAAGATGACGCACTCAGTGGAGATTGGCCCTCACAACATCTGGGATAAATGAACCTCCACACGTACATGTTTTTCTCTCTCCCTCTCCCCACTCCCCCCCCCCACCCCGGATTAACCTGTTCTCTGTAACATATTTGTCAGGATTTAAAGCCTGGGATTAGCAGCTGGCAGGATGTGCATGGGACTGATTTTTACCTTCCTTCCAGGAGATCAGACAGTGCTGCTGGAAGGGAAGGACATTTGAAATTCAAATAGACAACAGAGATTTGAGAATTGGAAGAAGAGGGGATTTCAGGCATTCAGTTCATTGAAGAGAGACAGGAGTTACTGGAGACTCCAAGGTGATGTTACAAGTAGCTATGACACTTCCTTTAGTTGGAGATGGGTTTCATGACCCACTAAGTCCTCACTTATACAGAAAAAAACACCTCTAGTTTCTACATCAGGTCCCCTATGACAGGTTTATGATCATTTCCCCTCTTTATATAGCTATTGTGAATAGCGCTGCAATGAACATTGGTGTATAAGTCTCTGCTCTCAAATCTTTTGGGTATATACCTGGGAGTGGAATTGCTGGGGCATATGGTAGTTCTATTTTTAGTTTTTTGAGAACTGCCACCATACTTTTCCATACCTGCTGTACTATTTTGCATTCCTGCCAGCAATGGGTAAGGGCTCAAATTTTCCCACATCCTTGCCAACATTTGTTATTATTATTTTTATCTTAGCCATCCTAGTAGGAGTGAAATGGTATCTCATTGTGGTTTTGATTTGCTTCTCTCTGATGGCTATGAAGATTTCTTAACATATACGAGGAGCACACTCCTATTCAGTTTCTCAGAACTATTTTCATACATTCTCTTGTGCATTTATTAAGATGATTATATTGTTGTTGTATGCTTTTTTTTCCTACTCATGTGCTCCACTAGACAAATAAATTGCAAATACGAACTGCTGAATGCTTCCTCGGGTTGAATGCTACCTGGCTATGTTACATGCTTTGCTTGAGAAATTCATGAATACTTTTTATTGTTATTTTGTCTTAGGTTTTCCCATATATGCAATTAATGAGATTAATCACTGGTTTTTTCTCTTGCTTTGCACTTGTTGCACCGTTGTCTTTTATAGCTTTTTGATATCATCAAATGCCTTCAGAAAATTCACTGACACACGTCTTCTTTTTGTGTGCCTTCAAATCATTTTTAATCAAAGCAAAATAAGTTTTCTGAGATTACAAAATGACAATTTTGGCAACGCGTTCTCTGTGCGATGCAAATTTGGTTGACAACTAATTTGTTCTTCTATATTTTAATCAATCGTGTGGAAACTTTTTGAAATCCTCATAGGTTATGGAAATTACATACAGACACATGCATTTTTATTACTATATGCGCGTTGTAAAATAATGCAAACATACCTAAGATCAGGAAGGCTTGTTGATCAGATGTCAAGGATGTTGAACTGATGATGTCTGCTTTGGGTACAAAATTAGGTTGAGAGTCTAGGTTTTCCAGCTAGTGGTGGCAGCACAGGAGAAGATGACACCATTTGGAAACCCAAAATTGACAGACAGAAAGGACCATTAAGCAAATATATTATCTCATCAATATATTGGGTTTAACCTAAAGACATTTCTGAGATCCTGTTGGGTGTTAATTTAGTGTTGCTCTGCCTCTCTCGTGCCAGACACTTCCTTGACGTGGAACCAGGAAACCACACAGGCCTTCCAGTATTTCTCCTCCTGGGACTTTCTGAGAAGAGGTCATTCTTTTGGGTTCTTACTGTCCGTGTACCTGACCACTGTGCTTGGGAACCTGCTCATCTTCTGGCCATCACCTTGGACTGCCATCTCCCCATGCCTATGTACTTCTTCTTCTCCAACCTGTCCTTTTCTGACATTTGTTTCACCCCCACCTTCATCCCCAAAGATGCTGCTAAACATCCAGAGGCAGAAAAGAGTTATTATGTAGGCAGGTTTCACATGCACGTGTGCTTTTTCACAGTTTTTGGGCTTTTAGATTATTTGCTCCTGACCGTGATGACCTATGACTGCTTTGTGCCTATCTGTCACCTCTGCACTACACGGTCATCCAAAACCTCTGGCCTGTCAGCGTGCTGGGGCTTCTCCAGAGAGTTCGACTGTGTTGCCACCTTCTTTCTGCGCAGTCATTGAAATCCCACGCTATTTTTGTGAACTCACCAAGGTCCTCAAGCTCGCCTACTCCAACACCTTCATCAATAACATCGTGTTAGTATATATTGTGATAGGTGTCATGGATTTTTTTTTCCTCTTGCTTGGCTCCTATTCACATATGCACAAACTGTGCCTTATGTACTGAGCATCTCAAGAAAGGAAGAGAAGCGTCTTAGGTATCTAGAGCTGCTGTTAACAGAAATACCAAAAGTGGGTGGCTTTAACAAATAAATTTATTTTCTCACAGTTTAGGAGTCTAGAAGCCTGAATTCAGGGCGCTGCCTCCAGGGAAACGTCTTCTCTTTCTGTCGGCTCTGAGGGAGCGTCCTCGTCTCTTCTCAGGTTGCATTTCTATGATCCTTGACAATCTTCATGTGGTATGGCATCTATTTTCCCCGATCTCTGCTTGTTTGCTTGGTTGCTTCCTTAATCTCCTCTTCTTATATCTCACAACAGATTGACTTAAGCAAATAAGTTTTCTGAGATTTCAAAGATGATTGATATTACCCTCGCTAATACTGTCTCATTAACATAAGAAAACCCACTCCCATCTGGAATTACAACCACAGGTATAGGGTTTAGGATTTACAATACAGATTTCTCGTGGACACAATATTATACATAACATGCCACACTTTGCCCCGCCCCAAAATTCATGTCCTTAACACATGCTAAACACATTCACCCCATCACACCATCCTAAAACTCTTAAATCAACTCCAAGTCCAAAATCTCATCTTCTGAATCATCTAAATCAAACATGGAGCAAAATTCCTTTGCATCTGTAAACCTGTGAAATCTAGACTCAAAGTTATCTGTTTCCAAACGACAATGGTGGAACAGGCACAAGGTAAACACTTCCATTACAAATGGGAGACATTAGAGGGAACGAAGGGATAATGGGCACCAAGCAAGTCCAAAACCCAGCAGAACAAATTTCATGAGTTCTCAAGGCTTGAAAATAATCCTCTGCTCTCTGAGACCATCTGGGCAATGTTTCCGCCTTCCAGACTATGGGTGTTGGCCATGCTCTCTGGATTCTTGGTAGAGTTCCCTCGGCTTGGAGCTACAGACCCACCTTCTGCCTACTGGGATGGCAACTCTGCTCCCTTGCCTTTAGGTGACCCTATTCTCCTAGTCCACCTGAATGGCGACCACACCCCCTCAACTCTGGCAGACACCATTCTCCTGCTCCTTGGGCATGGCATTCCCCACCCCATCGGCTTTGGGCAGCAGACCAATCCTCTTGGCACAACTGAATGGCAGCCCCACATTCCAGAACTGAGTTCGTGGAGATCTAACTCTTTGAAACCTAGGAGGCCATGTCTGCACCCTTTGAAACCCAGGAGTTCATGACTCCTCCCTTTGAAACTGAGTCAGCCCTGCTTCCAGTGTTCCTTCCACCAGTTCTGCTGATCTCTGAGCGGCTCCAGGGATTATTCTTTTCTTCTCTTGGAGGATAACGGATGTAGCTTCTCTGACCAGTTTCTTGCCTGTAGAATTCCAACAGGCAGACAGCGGTCTCTCCTTTCACTATTTCTCTGTCCCCTTCAGTCTAAGCTATGGGTTTTCTGCGGTGGTAGTTGGTTAGATCCATCAGGCACAGGCTTAATCTCTTTAACAAAAGTTTGTGTAGCCATGTCCTTGGTGAACATTCTAGGACACGTGTCCTTAGTTTGTACAACAGAATTTTCCAAACCTTTAAGTTCTGTTTTCATGTTGCACAGTTCGCTTTTAAGTCTATCTCTTTTCTCTTGCATTTTACTATTAGCGGAAAGAAGAAACCATCTGATCCCATTAACATCTTGCTTAGAAATCTCTGCAGGCATATATCCCAGTTCATCACTTACAAGTTCTACCTCCCACAAAACATTTGGACATAATTCAGACAAGCTCTTTGACATTGCATAAAAAGAATTACTCCTCCTCCATTGTCCAATCACGTGCTCACCTTTTAAAGCCCTACCAGAAGTACATTTAATGGCCATGTGTCTAGCAACATTCTGTTGATGGCACCATACGTATTCTCTAAAACGATAGAGACTTTTCTCTACTGTTC